CCATGAGCTGATTTTTATGCACAAGTTTTCCGAGAGAAGAAGAGATTGATCATTTGCCTTCGTGTAATCAATAAACGCCCTACTTATATTCACTTCTCACCAGTTTTACTTTCTGAAAGAATACCAACGTCGTCAAGGATCATTGCTCAAGATATAGAGCCGGGCAACCTCTATAACCTCTGGCTGACGTCATGTTTTCAACTTTGAAGCACTTCCATGCGGCTGGCTGCACGAGTGCCAGTTGACAACTGGGCGCTAATATTATCACCCTACTCACAGGTGCTTGTTAGAATCACTGTGACAGAAACAAACAGATGATAATTGTGAAGTCAAGCACCCATTGTGTTATAATCCCTGATATATGTCGCATCCACACGGAGCTGTGCAATCACCCACTCGCTTGGTTTGTTCACCTTAAAGTGGAATGGCAAAAAATCTACCGCCAAGTCACTCCGCAAAATAATTTAATGCACCAACAAGCGGACATTTTTTGGAACATAAAACCTGTCTCATCTAACACAAACAGGCCCCCACAGCGCCGTGACTCAGTGATTACTGCCCGCAATATTTCTCAATCACTTGAGCTGAGATCCCAGGGCGCTCATATGCACAGAGACAGACAGACAGGGCTTAAGAGAGAAAAATGACGGGAAGGAGAGACAGGAAAGAAAGACAGAAACAGAGAGGGATGAGCAGAGAGACATGCGTGCCTGACCTGCATGCCAAGTAGCCATTTTTGTACCCACCCTCTTTTCTTTCTCCCCCCCACCCTCTCTTTCACTCACAGTCCGCCTTGCTTCAAGCCCAAACACACACATGTGCACTCACTCGTCACACACACACACACACACACACACACACACACACACATATGTATATTCTTGTTTTTCCTCTTTCTTCTGCACACACACACTCACACACACGCATACATTCACTGCGGCAGCAAACACACACACCTGGTCAACACCTGGATGCTTCAGGAGAGCGAAAGGACCCTCCCCTAAAAACAACACACACTCACTCATACACTCACACTGAGGAGCAGGAAGGGAGGAGAGGATGAGTTGAGTGCTCCTCAGGTCTACCTGTCTTTACACACACACACACACATGCACACCTCACACATACACACACAGCCCACACACACACACACACACACTCCTGCACTTTCCATCACTCCAGCATCATTCACGCAGCAACAGAAGCGTCACACAGCCATGGCAGCACCACGGAGGAGATGTCTCAGCTGTGAGGATGCAAGGACGGGGTTAGAGAGTTACCGTTGCTACTTAATGAGCACGTCGGCCGCCTGGCGCATCCTCCCGCTCCACACGCCTCCCTCTTCCTCCTCCCCCCTCTCCATTTTTTTTTTTTCACTGCGGCTCTGTGTCTTTCCCGCGCCCTGAGGATCCGCCAGAGTCCCCCTCGCTGGTACCCGTAGTAGCGCCTAAGAGGCAGTTAGCATCTCTTCCTGCCCCTCCTCCTCCTCCTGTCCTGTGCTCTGCTCTCTCTCTCTCTCTCTCTCTCTCTCTCTCCCGCTGTCTGTCAGTCTCTCTCGCCCCTGCTGACATAAACGATAAAAAAAAGAACCCTCCCTCCTTCCCTGGCTGTCTCTCCTCTTGTCGCTCTCTCCTGCTGCTGTTGCCTCTCACTCAGTACAGCCTGTGCCTCCTTCCAAAGCCCAGGCAGTGCCAACCATATGATATCACTCAGTTGCCTTATATGGGAAACGGTGGGTTGCCATGACGACAGCAGACTCCACCTGTTTCTCCATCTCTGTTACTCTCTCTCTCTCTCTCTCTCTCTCTCTCTCTCTCTCTCTGTGTCTCGGTCCACCTTTCTCATCCGGTGATATATGGAGTGGTTTGGGTAAATAGACACAGCACATGAAAGAGCAAGAAGAGTGGGTGGGGAGGAAGGAGGAGCTGGACGGGGTCGGGGGGGGGGCAGAGGAGACAGCGGGGGAGACGTGATGGACAGGAGCTAACGGAGGTTTGCAGGGAGGAATAAGAAGAGAGAGAGAGAGAGAGAGAGAGAGAGAGAGAGAGACTTAAAGGAGTAGTTCACAGTTTTGGGAAACTTGCTTTCATACCGAGAGCGAGATGAGTTTGCTCGGTTCACTCTCCATACTGGTTGGAAGTGGACTCATCACGGCCTCCATGGGCCTTTCAAGTCCATCTTCCAAACAAGCGTGTGTTCAGCTGCACGCCGAACCGCCACCAAAAGATAGCTAGGTAGTAATTACAGAACCAAATGTAAAACACTGGAACTTTTTTAAAATCAGGCATAAGGTACTTTTTCTGATATGTTTCGGCACTACCTCCAAACATGCACGTTTTATAGGGAGCTGAGGCAGCATATAGTGAGAGGTAGGGCTGATTTAGGGAAGCTCAACAGCGCCGTACGCAGTGTTACCGCCATCTTTGTTGCTTTTTCAAATTGCTTTGTAAGGGATTCAACGTTTCAGCACCTGCACTCTCCCTCCTCCTCCCTCCTCCTCCCTCCTCCCTCCTCCTGCGTCTGGACTACAGAAGAATTGCCAAGAAAATGGAGACAAATAACAGTGAGATAACTGCAGCTATTTATGTTGCTGTAAGTTGATTTAACAGATAGAATAACTCTGAAATGGGCGTATTTCTTTTGCAAATGTAAACAAACATAAAAACTATTCCCAGCCATGTCAAAGAACAATTAAGCCAACAGGGCAGATGCATCCGATGTTGATGAGTTCGGGATAAATATCACTCCCACCCAGACAACAACTGCCAACACAGCGTCAGGATGACTGATGACAACAAAACGGCAAATTAATGAGATTATCAGTCTATCGTCAGAGACTGAAGCTCTTCCTCATGACATCCACTATAGCTGGAGACATTACAGGAACACTTATTCCAATATGTAACTCAATAGAACATGTATAATGAACATGTTGGTAGGCGTACACGTTCATAGAGACCAGAAACTCATCAGGAAACTGTTTACTGAGCTCATAAATCAACTGAGAAGTCGGTTCATTTCTACATAAGACTGAATGGGATCTGTTTTTATTGCAACCAATGGAGACACTACACAGATCCAGAAGCCATTATATTAAAATGACTATCAATGTGTTTCCTTTGCTTTCCTGCCTTAAGCCTTTATGCTAAGCTAGGCTAAACACACAGACGGGAGATGATCTACTCCTTTAAGGTAGAGAGAGAAACGCTGAAGCAGGCTGTTCTGTTCTGTGTTGACCATCTGTCACAGGTATCAAGTCAGAGCGCGTGGTGATTGATGGCAGAATGAAAGGGAGAACACGGCGAGCAGGGAGACGGAGACAGAGACGTAAGAGATATGATGGAGAGGTGAGTTTAATACTTCACATTCTGACATTTTCTCATCGTCCCACTTAAACCCTTTTCTCCATATTCTATTGCTGACTCTTTCAGATGATAACCACTTAAAACACGACCATTACTGACCCAGCAAGCCGGTCATAAAAAAAAAGAAGCCTCCACTGTGTGTGCGTCTGAAGCCCCCACAGGCACCTCGCCACATAATGCGCTTGTGTGGGTTTCCGAGCCCACCGATGTGCTGTTATTATCTCCCAGGAATAAAATGTTCACGTGTGGAAACAGAAAGCACTCAGAGAGCTCATCCCTCCCCCAGGCTGCACTCTCCTCTAGAGATGTTATTGGATAGATAATCTGCATTAAAACACATTGTGACAGAAAAAATTGGAATATGTATTTCTCAAAGTCAAGAAGACTTTTTTTAAATAATCCTCGATACTAACTTAACTTTAGTTTTCGATGTGTCCTGCTAACAATAGTTACGTTTTAATTCAAATGTTTAGATTTGACATGACAAAAGTGAAAATATTAGTTTTCCTCAACTACTTTTATGCAGATGTATTAAAGAGGATGTGACAATATCACATCGTGAACCAGGAACTCAAAAACATCACAACATTTAATCGCTGCAGCCCACCTACAGATGCATTTGCATTCTTAAATGAATTCATTTGTCCCTCCTGATCCATGTGTGTAGGAGAGGACAAATCTCTTGTTATATTGTGGTATTGATATACATTATATCATATAACCACATAGAAATGTCTATTTTTGGCTAATTCAGCTAATTAAATATGTGACAAAAGACCTATAAATGATAAATATAGGTAAATGATGATGGTTGAAAAATCAATATGATCTCTTGGTATTTATTATATTGTCTTGTATTTGCTGACTTTATGTAAAAGAAACTGCTTTGTAGGGCTCCCCCAACAGTTGACTAGACGTAAAGAGGTTTAGTCGAGAAAGAAAAAACAATGTTAAACTCAATATGGGGATCTGTAACTGCTGGTGGGGGGGTTTGATTATATTGTCTAGCACAGGAGAATGAGCAACAGAGCCGGGTTCACAGTCTCCAAGAGCGAAGGGGGAAAAGGGATTTAAAAGGGCCCCCACCAAAAACCCAACCCGAGGGTGAAAAGACTTTGTTGATTGCTTAGTGTCACAAAGTTATTATATTGAGATACTTAGAGACTTAGAGAACTGCTTTTTCCCCCCACCATGGGGAGAAAGGGGGCCCCCCTGAAAAAAATTAAAAAGTAGGTTAGCTTTTTTTTGTGAAGTTGGAAGTTATTTATTCCGCATTTTGAACGAAACTTGTGTGATGTTGAAATAAATGAACGACACATTCAGAATCAGTACCATTACTAGTCGACTGTTGGCTTTAACTAACGACTGCTACAAAAATCTTTATTTGGGGAGCAGCCCTACTGCTTCGCACCTAGAATGACGGACAATAATCTGAGAGATTATTGAGGCAGAGTGCAGGAGAGTCCTGTATGTCTGCAGACCCTCAGGAGGATTCTCATCCAACCTCAGTCTATAGTGAGTGTGAGAGATGTTGCTTCTTATACGGAAGTATTTATTGACCACCACCGGTACCAGAACCAAACATTAAAGCATTCTTTGTCAGATAATTAGGTGTGAGGTGCACTGTGCAGATACCTGGCGCCCAGCAGGGGCGGAGCCCTGCGACATGCTGCCGGGGCTGTTGGAGAACTTGTTCTTCTGGAGGTCCATGAGAGCATCTCGCTGGCGTTCGATGTCTGCCTTGTGGATGCTGTTCAGGGCCTCCAGGCTTTTGGCGGCCACGGAGTTGTGCCGGCGGTCCAGCGAGGACGACGTGAACCCCCCGTTGGTGTTGTCAGGGAACCGCCGGGCCCCGCGGCCGCCGCCGGCAGCCAGGGTGTGGTAATCCCGCGGGAACTCGGCATCACCGGCAGAGATCATGGGACCCTTTCTCTTCTCTCGACCTGCAGCAGGGTGGGGGTGTAGGGAGATGAGAGAAGGGGGGAGATAGAAAGTAAAGGAGTGAGACAACTAGAAATGTTTCTGGTGACGCCGTTACATCATAGGATGGCACTCGTAAAATGGTTTCTGAGGGTCTATAAATACTACAAACATGGTTCCAAAGATCAGAATACAGTTTGAAGCCAGTGGTCTGTTATGGGATTAATATGCAGAGACTTGAATCAACACAGTGTTCATGTAGTTGGATAAAAAGCATCGATACCACAGCGTCTGACCTTAATTAGACTGAACAGGCAACATTTAAACAGTAGATTTTCATTTAGGTGCAGCATTGGTGGACGTGATGGTCGGCCAATCAAACAAAACAATTCAGATGAAATGAAATAACAACTCAAGAGACTTTGTGATGAGGTTGTTCTGTCAGCTGCTGTGAACAATGAAAAGAAGTCATTATTTGTGGTCAAGGTGATCATGTACAGCGGCTCCGACCAGGACTCTGACTCCGGGGAGGACGAAGACACAACGCGTTCAGGCAGATCCAAGAGAGAGACGAAACTATGGAAGCACATTCCCGCCAATATTACGCAAAAAAGAAGATTCTTTAAGTTTTTATAGTGAGAAACTTTCTCAAAATAATAACTTAGTATCCTCCTGAAGAGGCTCAGAAAAATGGAAATTTGAACATTTCTATCCACTGATTAAGATCATGTGAAGTGACTAAAAGCTCCAGAAGAGCTACTAAATGGACCTTTAAGTCTGACTGTGTGTAAACTGCTGTTCCCAGAATGAATCTGAAGCTGAAGTTAGACAAAATAATCATTGCAGAAATCATTGAAATAAACAATGTGGTCATGTAATGTGTAATACGACAATAATTTGCAGATTTCATGAAAATAATAAAGTAAAACAGGAAAATTCACCCTGAAAAAAACTGAAGAAATGTAACAGTTAAAGGATCAAACACGACAAAACATAATAACATTTTTAGACAACAAATTTAGACAGATAATAACAATTTGTTTCTTTATGTTTGTATATGAAATCCATCTTCAATTTTTAGTGACACAGAGTGAAAATTAACCAGCTTCCTTGTTAGAAAACCATATTTCTGTTTCTTTTGGATTCTCAGATGTCGGAGCATCATTGAACACACCTCCAGGGAGTGAATACTGTTTGTGCTCACAGCTGCTGTACCTCACAACAATTTAACAACAAAAACCCCTCAAATTCACACAGATTTCAAGTCTCTGCAAGTTCATTTTCATTTCTTAGTGACTGAACAGAAGCGACGGCTGCCTGAAAGGTGGAAAATCAATCTAATAACAAATGAGAGGTTTATAAAGTCAAAAGATAAACAGACGTGTTGTAGTGCTTTCAATTGTCCATTACACTGCGAGTAAGTGAGAGCTTATTATCACAGCACACACTGCATTGTGTAATCACACAGTGGTGAATGGGTTAGACCTTGAGGGGTGTCAGGGGAGCAGCGGTGAGAGTGTTAATGCGAGGACTAACAATGCTCCAACATCCATGTGCTCATTCTGTCCTTGAGCAACCTGCACAGTATATTCATGTCTGGAAGAAACACTCTCCTCCCTGTTAGTCTCTCCTCTCTCCCCAAACACAAAAACACACAGTCCTATTGTTCCACACACACACACACACACACACACACATATGAAAACACACCTCTAGCAATAGAGAGCCCTTGTGAAAACAGCTGCAACATCTGTCTATTCCAACAACTGCAACTGTCCTGGGAACCCTGAGGTAAAATAAAATAAAAAACTGTCGCACAGCAACGTCTCCTGCTATTATCTGACAGCTCGACTGTCTCACATTTGAGTCAGAATCAGTGGAGGAGAAGTGACACAAATGGAAACGATGTCTTCCTGTACGGGGACAGATTTACTGCCCTCTTGTGACCAGTGACACATAAAGCACCACTGACTGGGTGTTCGGTCACACTTTACATAACAGTGGACACACAAGTTCAAAAAGGTTTTATTCTGTATTTCTACCTGCTGTAAATAATATTAAACAGTATGTCAGAGATACTGTAGTGTATCAAATATATACATGTTTATTTATTTATGGTTTATTGATAGGGACAGATACAGTAAACACAGACAGACTGACAGCTCTCTGATGCAAGTACCATAGTGTGTGTAGAGGATGCTAATTAGCAACAGCCGTCCCTAGAAAGGCTTTTAAAGGCGACACTATACTCTGTCAAACACTGCGACAAATTCATACATATTCATTAAAAAAGGTCGACGATAACAGAAAAAAGTGAGAAAATAATAAACGTTATAAATAACTGATAACTCGATTACACAACACTGTAAAACTGAGGTTAAAGTCTCATTTAAAGGTGCTCTGTAAGATTTAAAGAATAAATAATAAATCTTGTCAGGCCGTATTTAATTTATTGTGGACAAAACGTTTGACTTGTACTGTTTTATTATTATAGCCAACAACAGAAAGTGGAAGAAGAATATTATTGTCAATGTGCACAAGGTAACTGACACTGGTCTGGCTCACGCCCTCCTGGTTCCTGCCTCTTTAAGTCAATAACAAATTACGTACGTTGTATCTCTAGAAATGATCACATACAGTACAAACTGTGTACAACAAGCTCCTTATTCCGCTTTCTGTGGGTTGTTTTTTATTTAGATTCAAACTATAAATTATATGTTTGCTCAGGCAGAGTCTCTATACATTATTGATCCGTGCTGTAAGGTCCTCGTATTTGCCTGCAGGGCAACAAAGGTGCACTGAAGCAAGTCTTTAAACTTCATTAGCCAGCAGTTAGGAAACTCTGTGACGCAGCTCGAAATTCAGCTACAGACTACAGCAAAAGTTACAGTATACGTAATGTTTATGTATCAAAGCCATATATATGATATCAGCACACAGGTTGATCTGTTACTGCCACCAACATATCAAATTATCTAGTGAGAAACCTGAATTACATGTCTGTAATATAACGTAATAGCTTTAAGAGCAGTCATTTTCATTCATTCCTGAGAAGCTGAGCTGTTACTCCTCCAGGGATTCAGCCTGACAACAACAATATTTGTGTCTGTTTAGCGTCTAGAGGAAAGAGTTTGAGTCCCCGATGTAAGAATCTTCCAATAGGAGCGCGGCAGCGTGCCGGTGTGTATCCATGGTAGGAAGGAAAGAAAGGAGTGTTATAAAACAGAGGGAGAGACTGGGTAGAGACGGAGGGAACATCTCGACAAGAGCTTGTCACTTTAATTTATGTGAAGCCTTGAGCAAACCCCTACATGTGGGTGGGGGGAGTGAGGGGGTGGGCATGTATGTGGGACAAAGAGAGGCTATATTTTACCAAGAGAAGCACTGCCGGTCATCTGCTGCAATACCTGCTGGAATTTACTACGCGGGTCTTCTTAAAAACAACTGTGTTACAGTGATGATGCAGAACATCTGTCCTACATTTTAACTCAGTTCATCCACAGCAAAACGACTGCTTTACATTCACAGAGTTACAGCTGGGAGCCGCCCAGTACAACCAGTGCTCACTCACTGCTCAATTATTACACAGACACTTTTTTTTTTGGTCACAGATTTGTCTTCATTAAAAGGACAGGTGTGGAGGATTTAGTCGTGTTTAGCGGTGTGGTTGGAGATCACAACTCGCTCTCACTTCACCCTCCCTCCTCCGAGTGAGGAGGAGAAACTACGTTGGCTGTGATACACGTGAGAAATGCAAATTATCCCTGTGTAGAGCCAGTGTGTAGGGATACACCGATACCACCGATACCAGTATCAGCTATCAGGTCCGATAGTGAGCTCATGTACTCGTAATTGTAATCAAAGTACTCCGATACTGCAGAGTGACGTTAGTGGAGCCGGCGGAGGAGAAGCAATTTCAGCAGTTTTCAACATTTAATTAGTTAAAGTCAGAAAGTGAGTCTCATGAAAATACTGTAATAGTATAAATAAGTCCTCTTATTGGTATCTGCAACTACTTAAATAAAAGTAGTTAGTACTTCGTAGTTGTATTTGGTTTTGGTGCATCTCTGTTTTGGGCTGCTGTAGAAACATGGCGGTTCAACATAGCGGCCTCCATTAAAGGCGACCCGCAGCGTCTGTAGATAAAAACGTCTCATTCTAAAAACAACAATTCTTATATTCAGGTGATTAAACACTAATGAAAACATACCTCTGAACATTATATTCCATTTCTGACAATAGATCCTCCTCAATGTTACACTCTGGAGCTTTAAATGACTAACATCAGACTGACATGTTTTAATCAAGATGCTGATTACTATTGTCACATTTGTCTAGTTTTATATGCATCTTTCATACATTATTATGTCCGTTATTTCCTAATAATTTCCTCTGTAATTTGGTACGACTAATTGAGTTAAAAGTTCTGATTCACTTGAATAAAGGTTCAGAGTTTATAAGCAGTTGTTGGTTTCTGGACAGAATCGATTCACTGAATTTAACTGAATTCACTTTATCAGCTTTACTAACTTTACATTAAAGCTGCAGTAGGTAACTTTTATAAAAATAACTTTTTGTCATATTTGCTGAAACTTTCACTAAATCCTGACAGTAAAACTTGAGACAGATAATATGTGAAACAATCAGCTTCCTCTGGCTCCTCCTGGTGCTGAGATTACCAATCAGAGCCGAGAAAGATAGTTGAGTGTTGAGTTTCATTCAAATAACAACGAAATGAGACTCAACAAAGAACCTTTATATGTTTCTCGGCTCTGATTTGTAGTTTCCATTCGGGCCCGGTGGATTCTTTTAAATCCCATTCGGAGCACCAGGAGGAGCCAGAGGAAGATGATTGTTTCACACATTATCTGTCTCATGTTCTACTGTCAGGATTTAGTGAAAGTTTCAGCAAATATGACAAAAAGTTATTTTTATAAAAGTTACCTGCTGCAGCTTTAAATAAGGCTACATTCACACTGGAAGCCTAAACGCTGAATTCTGATTTTTTGCTCGGATTCCAGTG